TCGTTCGAAAGCCAAATCACTAAAATATCATGGGCAAACACAGACAAAAAACTAAGAAAATTACCTAATTCTTGTAAATTTCCCCCTAAATGCCAAAAATGAGCTCTAAAAATGGCAACACTGTACGTACAGCTCCCCCAACTCGCTACAGATGGTTCTAAAAAGGTTTCACAAAGAAATTGTCTGGAAGACGGATCACCAAAATATTCAAAGGCTTACACACAAAAAAAGAATGAGAAAATCATCTAATTCCTGTGAATTGGCCCTTAAATGCCCAAAATGGACTCCGAAAATGGTGAGACTTTACGTACTGCTCCCTCAATTCCTTACGAAGGGTTCCATAAAAATTTCACAAAGAAATCGTTGGAAGTCGTATTATCAAAATATTCATAAGCTAACTAACATGCACGAAAAATTAAAAAAATTGCTTAATTCTTTTAAATTGGCTCCTAAATATCCAAAATGGACTATTAAAATGGTGATATTGTACGTACTTCTCCCCCTTGTCCCTACGGAGGGTTTCGTAAAGGTTTTGCAAATAAATCATTTGGAAGCCATATCACCAAAATATTCATGGGCTAACACGCAGAAAATAGAAAAAATTGTAATTACCACTAAATGCGGACTGTGAAAAAGGTGGTTTGTGTATTAGCCCATGGATCTAGCGCATAGGAGCACTCTAAAAAAATTTCTGAAAAAACTTTATGAGGCACTCTGTAATGAGTTGGGGAAGCATTGCGTATAGTCCCACTATTTTTAAGGCATATTTTTGTATTTACAAGCAAACTTTTAGGAACTATCCGACTTTTTTAGTTGTTTTATGTGTATTAGCTCATTGATTTGGTGCCTGGGAGTACCCAAAAAAAAAATTCTAAAAAACTTTATGAGGACCTCCGTAATAAGTTGGAGAAGAATTGTGTATAGTCCCACCATTTTAAGGCATATTTTCACATTTACCAGTCAACTTTTAGGAATTAGCCGACTTGCTTAGTTTTTCGTGTATATTAGCCCATAGATTTGACACCTTGGAGCACCAAAATAAATTTTTAGAAAAAACTTTGAAGATCTCAGTAATGAGTTGGAGAAGCATTGCATATAGTTCCACCATATTTTAAGGTTGATTTTCGCATTTACGAGCCATCTATTAGAAATTAGTCGACTTTTTTATTTCTTGTGTGTATTAGCCATATGTATTTGCCGCCTAGGAGCCCCTGATTTTTTTTTTAAAGCACTTTATGCGGACCTCCGTAATGAGTTGGAGAAACATTGTGTATAGTCCCACCATTTTAAGGCATATTTTCATATTTACTAGCCAACCTTTAGGATTTAGTCGACTTTCTTGATATTTTTTATGTATTAGCCCATAGATTCGGCGCATGGGAGCACCCAATTTTTTATAAAAAAAAAACTTTAAGAGGATTTTCTTAATGAGTTGGAGAAGCATTGTATATAGTTCCACCTTTCTTAAGTCATATTTTTGCATTTACGATCCAACTTTTAGGAATTTGTCGACTTTCTTGGTTTTTTTGTGTGTAGTGCCCATGGATCTGACGCCTTCGTGCACCCAAATTTTTTTTAAGAAAAAACTTTATGAGGACCTTTAAAATGAGTTGGGGAAACATAGCGTATAGTCCCACAATTTTTAAAGTTATATTTTCACATTTATGAGCCAACTTTGAAAGAATAGCTGACTTTCTAAGTTTTTATTGAGTATTAGCCCATGGATCTGGCACCTAGGAGCACTCAAAAATAATTCATGTGTATTAGCCCATGAATTTGGCGGCTTTGAGCACCCAAAAATATTTTGTGAAATTTTTTATGAGGAACTCCATAGTGAGTTAGGGAAGCATTGCGTATAGTCTCATACTTTTTAACATATGTTTTCGTATTTATGAGCCAACTCTTAGAAATTACGAGACTTTCTTGATTTTTTATGTGTATTAGCCCATGAATCTAGCACCTTGAAGCACCCAAAATAATTTTCTAAAAAAATCTTATGACGACCTCTGTAATGAGTTGGAGAAGCATTGTGTATAGTCCTGCCATATATTTAAGGCATATTTTCACATTTACGAGTCAACTTTTAGAAATCACGCGACTTTCTTGATCTTTCGTGTGTATTAGCCCATTAATTGATCTGGTGCCTTGGAGCACCCCAAAAAAAAATTCTAAAAAAACTTTATAAGGACCTCCTTAATGAGTTGGGGAACCATTGCGTATAGTCCCATCATTTTTAATGCATCCTTTTGTATTTACGAGCCAACTTTTAGGAGTTACGCGACTATCTTGTTTTTTAGTGTATTAGCCCATGGATGACGCCTTGGAGCACCCAAAAATTATTTATGAAAGACCTTTATGTGGACCTCCAAAATGAGTTGGAGAAGCATTGCTTATAGTCCCACCACTATTAAGACATATTTTCTTTTACGAGCCAATTTATAGGAATTATGCGGTTTTCTTGGTTTTTCGTGTGTATTAGCCCATGAATCTGGTGTCTTGGAGCACTTAATTTTTTTCTTTCTGAAAAACCTTTATGAGAACTGAAATTGTATGAAGAAACTTAACAAGAATGAATTCAACTACAATGAAGAGAAGAGAAGAAAAGATAAGAGAAGAGATTAGAATAAAGAAGAAATAGATTTTAAACTCTGGTTACTTTCATTCTTATTTTTTTTTCCAATCATACAAGAAGATTATAACTAGTTATATAGACCTACTAACTACACTTGATTCTAACTAACTACACTAGTTTAACTAACTGTACCGTTACCTAACTAACCTTGTAACTAACTTTTAATAATTCACACTATCCTTGAGACTTTTAAGTTACTCCTTCAATACTCCCCCTCAAGTTAGGTACTTTAAAAATGTTTTTAGTACCTAACTTGGAACTCAAAACTTCATGCTGCATTCTGAATAAACTCTTGGTTAATAAATCTGCAGGCAGTTCATTTGTTGGAATATATCTAGTAGAAACCACTCCTTGCATAATCTTTTCTCTAATGAAATGGCAATCTATCTCAATGTGCTTAGTCCTTTCATGATAGACTGGGTTTGCAGCTATTTGCATAGAAGCCTTACTATCAGTATACACTTTAACTGGAAGAGTAACATCTATACCAAGTTCCTTCATCAATCCAATTATCCACACCAATTCTGCCACTGTTGAAGCCAAGCTTCTATATTCAGCTTCTGCTGAACTCTTAGACACAGTAGTCTGTTTCTTAGACTTCCAGATGATAGGAGAGTCTCCAAGCTTAACTACATACCCTGTTACTGACTTCCTAGAGTTTGGACATGCAGCCCAATCTGCATTACAATAGGCTGGTATCGCAATGTTGTCATTGTTAGATAGTAAAACTCCCTGCCCTGGCTCTTTTTACAGATACCTGACTATTCTAATTGCTGCTTCCATATGAGAATGTTTAGGAGCTTGTAAATATTGACTCAGAGTCTGTACACAAAAGCATATATCAGGTCTGGTCATAGTAATGTACAAAAGTTTACCTATGAGTTTCTGATAAGCTCCTTGATCAGCCATAGGCTCTGCTTGAGCTTTGATCACATGATCATCATATTCCTTTGATGTTAACTTTATATTTGCATCCATAGGAGTCATTGCCGGCTTTGCAGCCCCCAAACCAACTTCAGAAATCAATTCTAATGCATACTTCCTTTGATGCATTAGAATACCTTCCTTTGATCTAGCAAACTCAATACCAAGGAAATATTTTAACTCTCCTAAGTCCTTCATTTTGAACGCTTGTTGTAGGTACCCTTTGGTCTCATTGATTAACTTCACACTATCTCCTGTGATGAGCATATCATCCACATATACAAGAACAATTGTCATGCCTTCTGTACTCTTTTTAGTAAACAACGAATGATCATATTGGCTTTGTTGAAATCGGAACTTAAGAAGTGCCTTAGTTAGCTTAGCATTCCATTGCCTAGGAGCTTGTTTCAATCCATACAAGGATTTCTTGAGTCTGCAGACTGTCTTAGTCTCCCCCTGACTCTGAAAACCTTGTGGTAAATCCATGTAAATCACATCAAATAGGTCACCTTGTAAAAAGGCATTAAACACATCCATTTGATAGATATGCCACTGTCTTGTTGCTGCATTAGCAAGTACTGATCTAACGGTTTTCATCTTCACCACTGGAGAGAAAGTTTCTTGATAATCAATCCCTTCTTTCTGACTATACCCCTTGGCTACCAATCTAGCTTTAAACCTTTCCACTTCACCATCAGCTTTGTACTTTATTTTGTAAATCCACCTGCACCCAATGGGTTTTTTCCCTTCAGGCAGAGACACTACCTCCCAAGTGTTGTTTTGTTGTAATGCACTAACTTCTTCTTTCATAGCTTCCACCCATCTAGGATCTGTAATGGCCTCATAATAAGTTTTAGGTTCTGTGGAAGCTGAAATGGATGCAACAAAAGCTTGGTATCTTGGTGCCAAATGAGCATAAGCAACATATCTAGACATAGGATAGTCTACTGTGTCATTCACACTTAGTGAAACAAAATCTTTTAACCAGATAGGAGGGTTTCTATCCCTAGCAGATCTCCTGGTACCCCTATCAGGTGTCATAGAAACTTCCACTTGTCTATTCTCTTCTGACGGTGTGTTATGAACTTCAGGTGTTGTTTCTTTATGTGTCACAATAACTTCAGCCATATCATTCATACCATACTCACTAACACATGGAACAAACAGTTTGTTATCTGACCCACTGGTGTAGTTTTTGAAAGGAAAGATATCTTCTCTAAATATAACATCCCAGATCTTGGCTTCAATTTATCATGTTCTTGTATTACCTTAGCAAAGCAGAGACATCCAATGACTTTTAAATGTGAAAGACAAGGCTTCTTGTTGTAGAACCTCTCATATGGAGATCTGTTCTGTAAAACTGAGCTAGGTAGCCTGTTTATTATATGTACTGCAGCTAATACACACAGACCCCACAAGTTAATAGGTATATCCGCTTGAAACCTTAGAGCCCTTGTTACTTCTAGTAGATGCCTGTGTTTTCTCTCAGCTACTCCATTTTGCTGAGGAGTATAGGCACAACTAGTTTGATGCACTATGCCAAACCTCTTAAACACATCTTTACACACTGTATTTACAAACTCAGTTCCATTATCCGATCTTATGACCTTAACACACCTACCAAACTGAGTCTTAGCATACATAACGAACTGTTTAATGACCACACACACATCAGACTTCAACTTTAACAAGTATACCCAAGTTAACCTTGAAAAATCATCCACTATAGTGAGAAAAACCTATTACCATCAAATGTAGGCACTTTGTACAAGATCAAAGCATGCTGAAGTTTGTATACTACTTGTAGGAAACGTATTTCTAACTTGTTTTGCATAAGGACACACAGTACAATTATTCAATATATTTGCTATACTTTCAGTCTTAACTGATATAAGTTGGTTCAAGGACCTTGAAGAAGCATGTCCGAGCCTTTTATGCCACAACTCCACATCTGTATTCTCCTCATGTACATGACTTTCTTTTACAGCAAAACTACATCCACTGTTTTGAGACTGCTGCAACTTTGTACTTCCAGTCAGAATATACAGTCCATTTTCCTCTCTACCAATCTCCCTCACCCTTCCATTGGAGAGATCCTGAAAGAGGCAAAAATTAGGAAAGAAACTTACTGAGCATCCTAACTCTTTTGTTAGCTTTGACACAGACATTAAATTGAACTTGAACTGTGGAACATGCAACACATTAGTCAAAGATGTTCTTGGAGTAATATTACTAGATCCAACATGAGCAACTTTAGCAACAGCTCCGTTAGGTAAATACACTTCTCTAGACACTATAACAGGTTTATCTAACAAGTTGACATCTGCTACCATATGATTGGTAGCTCCAGTGTCAATTATCCACTTCTGTATGTGTTTAACAGAATCATCAGGTTGATTAATACCTGCTACATTTGCTGAAGACACAGAGTTTGCAGTTGCACAAGGATTGTTGTCACTCATATTCTTCAACAGGTTCACAATCTGACCATATTGCTCTTTAGTAAAAGGATACAATCCCACTTCAGATTCTCTGTTCTGTGAAAGAGAGTCAAATTTATATGTTATTCCTTTCCCTTTGTAGTCTGCCTTACTTCCTTCAGCCACATTCTCAAATGCTTCACCCATTATATCACACTGTTTAGAATCTGGGAACCGATTACCGGTAATCACATTGTGAGCCCTTGCACTCGAGGTGTAACTATTATTCACTGCTTGTACTTCTTTCTTCTTGAACTTGTTATAATCAGATGGATATCCTACTAGTTTGTAACATACTTCCTTGGTGTGTCCTTTCATTCTACAAAACTCACATTGTACATTGTAATTCTTCTTGTATCTCGTAAACCCATTCCTTGTAACCATAGCCATATCAAAACTATTACCTCCTGATGCAGGGTTAGCACCCAAGACTCCAGAATTTGCACTTATAGACTTTTGTCCTTCATCACTTATTATCATTCCATACGCCCGATTAACAGAGGGCATCGGACACATGAGCAAGATCTGACTTCTTGCTTGATTATAAGATTCATTAAGCCCCATGAGAAACTGAAACAATTTTAATTTCTGCAAATGTACTACAAATCCTTTGGATTTTTCACAGTTACACCCAGGACTTGGGACAAGAGCTTCAAACTCTTCCCACAGATTTTTCAATCTAGAAAAATATGTAGAAACTGTAGCAGTACCTTGAGTCAACATAGCAATTTCTTTGTGCAAATTGAAGGTTCTTGATCCATCAACCTTGTTAAATCTTTCATAAAGATCATCCCATACTTCTTGCGCCTGTGAGGCATACATTATACCTCCTAACAGACTTTTTTCCACTGAATTCATCAGCCAAGACAACACCACCGCATTCACTCTCTCCCAGTGATTCCACATCTGTTCTGGAAACACTTCTTTTTTACACGAACCATCAACCATTCCCAACTTATTCCTTCCAAGCAAGGCTACTCTCATTGATCTATACCAAATCGAGAAATTTTCAACTCCAGTTAACTGAAACGAAATGATCTGTGTACCACTTACATCAGTCGGAGAAAGGAACAGAGGATGATTGTAGTCAATTCCAGTAGTCTTCTGTCCAGATTCAATTGTATGTGGCTGTGTCGACTGTTCTCCATCCACTGCCATTGAAGCTTGATATGTTGATCAACCCTTCCAACCAGTTTAACTAATTGTTGTGGGCTCTGATACCATGAAATTGTATGAAGAAACTTAACAAGAATGAATTCAACTACAATGAAGAGAAGAGAAGAAAAGATAAGAGAAGAGATTAGAATAAAGAAGAAACAGATTTTAAACTCTGGTTACTTTCATTTTTTTTTTTTTTTTCAATCATACAAGAAGATTATGACTAGTTATATAGACCTACTAACTACACTTGATTCTAACTAACTACACTAGTTTAACTAACTGTACCGTTACCTAACTAACCTTTTAACTAACTTTTAATATTTCACACTATCCTTGAGACTTTTAAGTTATTCCTTCAATAAGAACCTCCGTAATGAGTTGGGAAAGTATTGTGTATAGTCCCACCATTTTTTAATAGCATATTTTTGCATTTATGAGCAAACTTTTAGGAATTACCCATCTTTCTTGTTTTTTTGTGTATATTGACCCATAGATCTGGTGCCTTGGAGCACTCAAAAAAATTCTGAAAAAACTTTATGAGGACCTCCGTAATGAGTTAGGCAAGCATTGTGTATAGTCCCACCATTTTTAAGGCATATTTTTGAATTTATGAGCCAACATTTAGGAATTACGTGGCTTTCTTGATTTTTCGTGTGTTAATATTAGCCCATGGATTTGGCGCGTTAGAGCACCCAAAAAGATTTTCTAATTTTTTTTTCTGAGAACCTCTGTAATGTGGTGGTGAAACATTGCATCTAGTCCCACCATTTTTAAGGCATATTTCGCATTTACTAGTCAATTTTTAGGAATTATGTAACTTTCTTGCTTTTTCATGTGCATTAGTCCATTGATATGGTGCCTTGGAGCACCCAAAAAAAATTCTAAAAAAAACTTTATGAGGACCTCCATAATTAGTTGGGGAAGCATTGCATATAGTCCCGCCATTTTAAGACATATTTTTGCATTTACGAACCAACTTATAGAAATTACACATCTTTCTTGATTTTGTGTGTGTATGGCCATGGATGTGGCACCTTGGAGTACACAAAGAAAATTCTGAAAAAAAATTATGAGGACCTCTGTAATGAGTTAGGGAAGCATTGCATAAGTCCCACCATTTTTAAGACATATTTTCACATTTACGAACTATTCTTTAGGAATTACGCAACTTTCTTGTTTTTCATGTGTATTAGATTAGCCCATAGATCTGGAGCCTTGGAGCACCCAAAAAAATTTTCTGAAAAAACTTTATGAGGACCTTCGTAATAAGTTGGGGAAGCATTGCGTATAGGCCCACCATTTTTAAGGCATATTATTCGCATTTACGAACCAATTTATAGGAATCACGCAATTTTCTTGATTTTTCTTATGTATTAGTCGGTAAATTTTTAAAAATCCATGTAATGAATACTGTTTGAACTTAAATTTTGTGAGTCCATTCGTGACAACTAAGTAATGACACTTGTAATTTTCGAGGAGCAAACACTACTTATTTTTTCAAGTTCAGGGATCATAAAACAAATTTGTCAAAGTATCTTAACTTTTTATGCATATTAATCAATAATTTTTTAAAAATATATGTGATCGACTCTGTTTGAACTCAAACTACTGGTATTCTTTGAACAAGAAACCCAAGTGAAACCATACTGCTGACTTGAAGAACAAATCTTCATATTGTTGGTAAACATCAATTTCATTCTAGTGCACATTTTTCTCATAGTACCTAACTGTTTAAGAATTATTTTTGACAATTATTATTATTACTATATATAAATATATAAAATAAAACATAGTACTAGTATTATTTTTATTGTTAGATTGGTAGGCTGCCTAGAATTTTGAAATGCCCTATTATCCTATGTATGACAATAAAGAAGAAAAAATATTTTAAAATATGGTTAGTGCTTCAATCTAGCTAAGTGCATTAGCACCATAAGAATTTATTCTCTAGAATGATTATGATAAGTTTTTATGTCTAGTATGATTAGTACTATAAAATTGCCTACAAAATCATTAGTCCTAATTAGTTTCTAGGAAGAATACTTCTAGATTTAGCTAAATTTGACACGTTTTATTCGATGCATATCTAAATTCTACCTTATTATTTGAATGTGATATTTTTATAGCATCGATCTTTCTACACGTTAATATGTCAAAAAAACATGAATACATAACTTTCTTGAAAAATACCAAAAGATAATATGGTATAACATGTTAAGCTATACAAAAAAAAAAACATAAAATCTACACCATCAATTTATATAATTTAAATTCAAATAATATTTATTATAATGTTGAGCAATACCATGCTGAAAAAGGTATATATTTATATATTCAAATAAAAAAAATTATTGTCAAATATGCGCACCATGTTTTCCTCCGTGAATGTAGGCCCAATAATTATTAATATTTATAAAAAATAATAATTGGCAAAATAGATACAAAAAGAGATCTAAAAATTTAATACCCCACAAAACACACGCTCCTATTAAGGATTTACATGTGATTTTTTTTCATATATAAATATATATGGTCCGATTAGTAAAATTAGAACAGATAAAAAGAAAGTTAACTAGTTGTTTATTTACGTTGGAATTTGAATTTGAGATCATGTGAATTCTCAATGATAGCTAAACCACGTCCTTGGATACTTATTTATATGTAATTTTGGAATTTTGTGGATTTATTCTATTCAATGTGTCAATTTTTTCAAAGATATTGACTTTTATTTTCTGTGTAGGTATGTATCACAATTCACAAGCATCTTTCACAGTTTCCATTAATAATAATTGAATTAGTGCTATCACTTCACTTTTTATTATGTTGGTGGAGCCTCTTTTTCAGGCATTTATGTCTCCTTCCTACCCTTTATTGCATTTTTTGTTTTTATATATATATATACACGGATGGTATAAATAATGCTAAGAACTTTAAAGATCGAATTCATCAGAATTCAAATCATGGAGGTCACTTTTGGTTACCTGTATTATTTTTTAAGTTATTAATTCGGTTTATTATGAATCGTTACATATTTTTATATTTCCATGATCTGATAGCTTAACAATTTTATGTATTAGCGTATATAAATTTGACCATTTTAAAAATAAATAAATAATGATGATGTTCGAGTCAACAAGTTGTTAAGCTAAGATGAAATGAACCATTTTTAAAAAAATAACCTTTTTGATTATATATAAATGGTTGAATCTTCTGGAAGAGTTTGGTAGGGGGGGGGGGGGGCAGGGG